TGGCAAAGTTTTAGAAATCTGATAGTCTTCAAGAGTAAAGAGGATATTAAGGAAGAGAAATTTGAATAATCTTCTGGTGGAAGTGTACAATTATTATAACCACTTTGAAAAACATTTGGGAGTTATCTAGTAAATTTGAAGACACAGGCACTCTTTAGCCAATCAATTTCACTCTTGAGTAACTATATTATAGAAAAGTGCATTCATATATTTACCAGGATACTTTGAAAAAAATTCTCATAATAGGACTTTTCCTTATAGCCCAAACTGGAAACAATTCATAGGAACAGTATTGGTGAAGCTGGGAAAAATATGTGGCATTTTTTCCTCATTATCAGCATAGAACTTCTAAATATGGAGGAATACGTCTGTATTTTCTGAAATGACTATTATCCTCAGGGTTTTTTTTTATAACTCTGGAAACTGTCAGAGCTCAGGGCAGCCTCCATAAAATGGTACTGTGCTCTACTCTAGGAGTAACTGAGACATTTACCAAGGTTTGCTCTATTTTAAAAAATATCATGATTTTCATTCTCTTACTTAAAATTTAACTTCATATATTTGAGTGTATTAGTATAATGTATCCTATAGAATGGTAAAGATGCATTACTCTATTGTTATTATATTAATAAGCATGTTTAATTCACTTGGGTTTCATTTTCTTCATCTATTAAATGATGATGAATCCAGCTCCATTAGCTAAGAACGTATAAGCAAATAACAAAATACCTGAATAAGGGTGGTGATATGGTTTGGCTGTGTCCCCACTGAAATCTCATCTTGAGTTGTAGCTCCCATAATCCCCATGTGTTGTAGGAGGGAATCGGTGGGAGGTAATTGAATCATGGGGGCAGATTTTCTCATGCTGTTCTCATCATCTCATAGTGAATAAGTCTCATGGGATCTGATGGTTGTATAAAGGGCAGTTCCCCTGCACACACTCTCTTGCCTGTAGCCATGTAAGACATGCCTTTGCTCCTCTTTCAGCTTCTACTATGATTGAGGGGCCTCCCCAGCCATGTGGAAATGTGAGTCCATTAAACATCTTTTTCTTTATAAATTACCCAGTCTATAGGTGACCTGACCAAATAAAGATTATCTTCTCTCACAACATCAGCTACAAAAATATCTAAAAATAATCAATTGCAGCCATTGTTTTAAGTACTCAGCAATGAATTAAGGGACCCAAGCTCTTTCTAACTTTGTTTCACCATCATTACCGTGTGGTTGTAAAATGGCTCCTATACTTCTAGGCACCATATCATGTGCTATTTTAGGGTAAGGGAAAGGGGCTACGCCAACTATATCTTTCACTCGTTTGATCAGTAATCAGAGATATTTCTCATGACACGATTTAGCTCTTTCCTTTTTTAATCTTTTTGGCTAGAACTATATTCCAGGGGACTGGAAAACCAAGAATTCATTTTTCTAGCCTCTAGGGTAGAGTAATACAAAGAGGAGTTGAGAAATGAACATGATAGGTTCTGATAGAACATGGGGTACTCTCACCTTACCTAGCTCATTGGGTTATTGATGAGGATCAATTGTGCTATCATATTTGGAATCTTTGAAATGTGCAAAGTGCTAAAGAAGTATAAGGAATTATTTTGCTCATCTTTTGAAAGTAATGATCTTTAAGGTATTTTACTAAGCTCAAATTATGATTCAATGATTAAGTACTAAAAAAGATCTTATGTGCACACATTATAAGAGATGATAAAAATCTATCTATCTTTGCCGATGTTAAACATCAGCTAGCAACTTCTTTCAGTACACTTTGGGGCTTTGCTCAGAATACAATATTTCAACTGAACGAATCAATGTAGAAAATCCCTTTCCTTTCTAGGAGATGAATCTGGAAAGGTTGCCATATTATTTATCTTTGACTAAAGTTTCTACTGTGGACAGGTGGAAAGCAAAGAGAAAATATTCCCTAAAGAAATAGGAAAGGGAAACTGATATTGATTTTTGCAAAATAAATTCAGAGTAACTCTCACAGGCTTTTGATATATCTAGGTCACTGGGAAAAAAATAAGCATTTTGCTGACAGATAGGATAAATATGGTTATTTCTTATACATGGCTACTAAGTGGATTCAGAACTTTTTATTATTATGCCAAGATTATTCCAACCAAGTAGAAATTACATACATTTATAAGCAGAATGCAGGAAAAAACTTTGACAATATTATGAATTTATATCAGTTTTCCATAAGGAATTCATGATTAAATCAACTTCAAAATCTCAAATAAGATTATGCTAATGGATGTTGGGCTTAATACCTAGGTGATGGGTTGCCCTGTGCAGCAAACCACCATGGCACATGTTTACTTTCGTAACAGACCTGCACATCCTACACCTACGGTACATCCATGTACCGTGGAACTTAAAATAAACCTTAAAGGAAAAAAAAAAAAAAACAAACATGTCAGCTACTTCACATATCATTATGTGGCCCAACACAGCATGAACAAGTTACTGGTTGTGCCTCTCTTGTTGAACTCTAAAAACATGCAGGATACAACATTGGCACTCTAGGAGCTATCAAAATACTGCCCTTCAATATTTGTCATAGTAATAATTTAGCAATCTAAACATGCACATCCAACGGACTAGAGATAAAAATATCTTCCTTAGCCAGGCGTAAACAGTAAAAGTAGAAATAATGTGTTTGACTTTTTAATCAGTCAACAAATAAATATTAAGCACCCAATATGTGCCAGGCTTTCTGTCTGGTATTGATGATTCAATGGAGAACAAAAAGACATGATATCTTCTGTTATTGTGCATACCATATAGTGCAAAACACAAATTTTAAATATACTCAAATGAGATCAGATTTTTTTTTTTTTTGAAGCTTGTTTTAACTTTTCAGGTCTGGATAGCTCTTTTTATCACTTTAATTTTAGGTTCAGGGGTACATATGCATGTTTGTTTTATAGATAAACTGTGTGTCACTGGGATTAGGGTTCCAGATTATTTAATCGTACAGATAATCAGCATAGTATGTGATAGTTTTTCAGTCCTCACGCTCCTCCCACCCTCCACCTTCAAGTAGGCCCTGGTTTCTGTTGTTCCTTTATTTGGGTCAATATGTACTCAGTGTTTAGCTCCAAAGTATAAGTGAGAACATGCAGTATTTTGTTTTCTGTTTCTGCATTATTTTTGCTTAGGATAATGCCCTCCAGCTCCATCCATGTTGCCAGAAAGACCATAATCTCATTCTTTTATATAGCTGCTTTGTATTTCTTAGGGCATATATACCACATTTTCTTTATCCAGTCTACCATTGATGGGCATTTAGGTTGACTCCATGTCTTTGCTACTGTGAATAGTGCTGCAATGAACATGCATGCATGCACATGTGTCTTTATGGTTAAACCATCTATATTCCTTTGGGTATGTACCCAATAATGGGATTGCTGAGTTGAATGGAAATACTGCTTTAAGTTATTCGAGAAATCATTGAACTGCTTTACACAATGGCTGATCTAATTTACATTTCCACTCATAGTGTATAAGTATTCTCTTTTCTCCACACCTTGACAGCATCTGTTACTTTTTTGCTTTTCATAATTGCCTTTCTGACTGGTTTGAGATAGTATCTTGCTGTGGTTTTCATTTTCATTTATCTAATGATAGTAATATTCAGCATCTTTTTCTATGCTCATTGGACATGTGTATGTCTTCTTTTGAAAAGCCTTTGTTCATGTCATTTGCCCATCTTATAATTGGGTTGCTTTTTTCTTGTAAATTTGTTTAAGTGCCTTATGAATTCTGAATATGAGACCAGTGTCAGATGTATAGTTTGCAAATATTTTCTTCCATTCTGTAGGTTTTCTGTTTACTCTGTTGATACCTTTTTTTGTTGCCACACAGAGGCCCTTTAGTTTAATTAGGTCCCATTTTTCAATTTTTGTTGTTGTTGCAATTGCTTTTGGAGTCTGCATCATGAAATTTTTCCCAGGTCCCATGCCAAAACTTTCCTAGGTAATCTTCTAGGGTATTTATAATCCATACTTTTACATTTAAATCTTTAATCCATCTTGAGTCGATTTTAGTACATGGTACAAGGAAAAAAGTATACTTTCGATCTTCTGCATGTGGGTAGCCTATTGTGGCAACATTTATTGAATAGGGAATCCCTTCTTCATTGCTTATTTTTGTCAGCTTTGTTGAAAATCTGATGTTTATGGGTATGTGGTCTTATTTCTGGGCTCTTTATTATGTTCCAATTGTCTATGTGTCTGGTTTTGCACCAGTACCATGCCGTTTTGCTTACTGTAGCCTTGTACTATAATTTGAAGTCAGATAATGTGTGGCCTCCACCTTTTTTTTTTTTTTTCTTTTGCTTAGAATTACTTTGGTGATTTCACTTTTTTTTTTCCAGTTCCATATAAATTTTTTTTAAAGTTTTTAATAATTTTGTGAGAATGTAGTTGGTAGTTTTGAATCTGTATATTGCTTTGGGCAGCATAGCTGTTTTAACAATATTGATTCTTCCTATCCATTATCATGGAATGCGTTTCTATTTGTTTGTGTCATCTTTGATTTCTTTGAGCAGTATTTTGTAATTGTCACTTTAGAGATCTTTCACCTCCCTGTTTAGCTGTATTCCTAGGTATTTTAATCTTTTTGTGACTCCTGCGAATGAGATTGCATTCTTGACTTGGCTCTCAACTTGAATGTCGTTAAGTGTATAGGAATGTTACCAATTTTTGAATATTTTGTATCCTGAACTTTTGCTGAAGTGTTTTATCAGATCAAAGAGCTCTTTGGCAATTTGAAATAAGCGCATCCTGAAAAATGAGATATTCATCCTTTCAAGCATTTATGCATTGAGTTGTGAGCAGTTCAATTACACTCTTTACATTGTTTTAAAACATACAGTTACAATTGACTATAGTCACCCTGTTGTGCTATCAAAGAGTAGGTCTTACTCATTTTAACAATTTGTTTTTGTACACATTAACCATCCCCACCTCTAGTACAGCCTCCACTACCCTTCCAAGCCTTTGGTAACCATCCTTCAACTCTCTATGTTCATGATTTTAATTGTTTTGATTTTTAAATCCCACAAATAACTGAGAACATGCAATGGTTGCCTTTCTGTGCCTGGCTTATTCTACTTAATATAATAATCTCCAGTTTCATCCATGTGGTTGCAAATGACTGGATCTCATTTTTTTTATGGTTGAATAGTATTCCATTGTGTATATGTACCACATCTTCTTTATCCATTCATCTGTTGATGGACACTTTTGTTGCTTCCAAATCTTAGCTACTGTAAGCAGCACTACAGCAAAGATAGGAGAGCAGATATCTCTTTGATATATTGATTTTCTTTATTTTGGGTATATATCCAGCTGTGGGATTGCTGAATTATATGGTAGCTCCATTTTGAGTTTTTCGGGAAACCTCCAAACTGTTCTCCATAGTGGTTGTACTAATTTATATGCCCAACAACAGTGTACAAAAGCTCTCTTTTCTCTACACTCTCACCAGCATTTATTTTACGTGTTTTGGATATAAGACATTATAACTAGGGTGCGATTATATCTCATTGTAGTTTTGATTTGTCTTTCTCTGATGAACAATGATGTTAAGCATCTTTTCATGTGCTTCTTTGTCGTTTGTATCTCTTCTTTTGAGAAGTACCTATTCAAACCTTTTGCCAATCTTCTGATTGCATTTGTAGATTTTTTTTCCTATAGAGTTGTTTGAGCTCCTTATATATTCTGGTTATTAATCCCTTGTCAGATGGGTAGTTTGCAAATATTTTCTTCCATTCTGTGGGCTGTCTATTCACTTTGTTGATTATATCCCTTCCTTTGCAGAAGCTTTTAAGCTTGACGTGATCTCATTTCTCCATTTTTGTGTTGGTTACCCAGGCTTGTGAAATAGTACTTAAGGAATTTTTACACAGACTAATATCCTGGAGTTTTTCCCTGGTATATTCTTGTGGTAGTTTCATGGCTTGAGGTCTTAGATTTAATCCTTTAATCCATGTTGATTTGACGTTTATATAGGCCTAGAGATAGGGATCTAGTTGCATTGTTTTGCCTATGGATATCCAGATTTCTGAGCACCATTTATCTTCGAAACTCTTTTCCCCAGCATATGTTCTTGGAATTGTCGAAAACGAGTTCCCTGTAGATGTGCGGATTTGTTTCTGGGCCCTCTATTCTGTTCCATTGGTCTATGTGTCTATTTTAATTTTTTTTTTTTTTTTTGCCAGTATTATGGCAGTTTGATGACTTTAGCTCTATTGTTTAATTTGAAGTCAGGTAACATGATTCCTCTGGGTTTGCTCCTTTGCTTAGGATAGCTTTGGCTATTCTGCATCTTTTGTGGTTTAATGTAAATTTTAGGATTGCTATTTTTTCTGTTTGTGTGAAGGATGTCATTGGTATGTTGATAGGGATTGCATTGAATCTGTAGATTGCTTTGGGTAATATAGACATTTTAACCATATAAATTCTTTCAATCCATGAACAAGGAATATTTTTCTATTTGTTGAGTGTCCTTTTTAATTGTTTCCATTGGAGTTTTTTAGTTTTTATTACTGAGATATTTCACTTTTTTGGTTGAGTTTATTCCTAGGTATTTAATTTTATGTGTGGCCATTGCAAATCAGATCGCTTTTTTATTTTATTATTTTTATTTTATTTTATTTTATTTTATTTTATTTTGGGGGACGGAGTTTTGCTCTTGTTACCCAGGCTGGAGTGCAATGGCGCGATCTCGGCTCACCACAACCTCTGCCTCCTGGGTTCAGGCAATTCCCCTGCCTCAGCCTCCTGAGTAGCTGGGATTACAGGCACGCGCCACCATGCCCAGCTAATTTTTTGTATTTTTAGTAGAGACGGGGTTTCACCGTGTTGACCAGGATGGTCTCGATCTCTTGACCTCGTGATCCACCCGCCTCGGCCCCCCAAAGTGCTGAGATTACAGGCTTGAGCCACTGCACCCGGCCCAGATCCCTTTTTTAAAAACATTCTTCTTCACATTGTTTTCTGTTGGCATTTAGAAATGCCACTGATTTTTATATGTCGATTTTTTATCCTGCAAATTATTGAATTTGTTTATTTATTATAACAGTTTTATTGTGGAGTCTTTTGGGGTTTTTTTTAGCTGTGTAGCCTGGGGTTAGGGGAGGGGTAATGCCAGCACTCCCTTGGCTGTCACAGCTGTTGTCTCAGTATGTTGCATGCCCCCACAGTCCACTGTTTCTCAGCCGAGTTTGGCACTAGGATTTGACTAAGAGTTGTAGTCCTTATGGTTTAGGCTACCTTTCAAGTTTACTTGGAGACAGAGGATATTGTAGCCCTCAATGGCAAGGTTTGAATGCACTCAAGTTAGGAATGCTAGGATGAGAGATTGCCCTCTGGCTAGGGCTGGTCTAAATGTTCCCTCTGTCGGCAAGTGTCAGCTTAGTTTAGTCTGGTTTCCCTTCCTGTTCTAACAGGAAAACACTTAGTTCTATGTCTCACCATTGCTGTTTTCTCCTTCCCACAGTGTCCAGAGATGTTCTGGACACCAGGCTGCAGATGCCAGGAATGGAGGAAGGGTGGTGTTGGTGATTTGGGACTGTTTTTTTCTTTCTCTTTAGTACCTCTTTTAGCTATATGAAATTAAAACCAAATACTATGATGAGTGCTCACCTGATTTTTCGTTCTTATGAAGGTGCTTTTTTTCTATGTAGATAGTTGTTAACTTGGTATCCTTGCAGGGAGGAACAAGGGATGGAGCTTTCTATTCTGTGATCTTTCTCCACCTCCTCCAAAGTTCAATAAAATTGATTTACCTCTCCTACGCTAACCAAGAAAAAAAAGAGAGGAAATAAAATGCCGATGTCAGAAATAAAAGCAGGGTCATAACTGCTGATCCCAATGGACTTACATAAAACTTTCATTTATGGAGCCTGCTTTGGCTTTAATTAGGCAATGCCTTAGACACATGACAAGATAAAGAGAAACTAGGAAAAATGAGGTTAGCAGTTCTCCTTTTTAGTAGTACTAATCAACTGGAAAAAATGAGTAAATGAATCCACTGAAAATAGATAACACTAAATAACAAACTATCAAGAAAAGTTCAGGGAAAGTCTTGAGAAAATTTTAAAATATTATTACACTGAAACTAAATCATTTAAAAAATAGTTGTTGGGTACTTATTATATGTCTAGCATCATTAAAATTGCTTGGAATATAGCAGAGAATGAAACCTTCTGACATGTCTGTACCCATGGACTTTACATGATAGTGAATAAGAGATAAATAGTAACAAAATTTTATAATATGTTAGAAGTTGTAAGATCATGAAGTAGTAGAAAGAAGAAAGAATGAGTGGTCTATTGTGCAGCATGGCAAATATAATTAATAATGTATTCTTGAAAAATGATAAGAGTGGATGTAAAGTGTACTCACCACAAAAATGATATCTATATGAGGTAAAATATGTGTTAATTGGCTAGATTTAGTCATTTCACTATGTATGTATACTTCAAACCATCATGTTGGACATGATAAATACATACAATTTAATCTCAATTTGAAAAAACTAGAAATTGTTCTCACCCCTACACCAACCTTCCATGCCTCACACTTTTTTTAGTTAGAAATATTAATGAGCATGTGGTATACCTTCTAATTGTTTCCCTTGTTCAAAGAAACTTAAAAACGTATGCACCTGTATGCACTCAAATATACACAAACAAGATTTTGCTTACTGTTATTTTTTTTTTGTGCAAACAAATAGAATATGATGGTATATATGTTACTTTGTAAAATTACAGGTTAATACTGCGGTTAACTTTAATAATAATTTATAATTAGACTCTAAATAGACTATCAAAAGCCAGCAGTGAAAAAGTTTTTATTTTTATTTTTAGGGAGGGAACTAAACATTGTGAATGAGTTCAATGATCATTTTCTCATATATTGATTCATTTAATCACCCTGATAAATACACAATATAGAATTCACAACTATACTATAGGCTTTTTTGTGTGTAATATTAAGCAAGGTAATCCACATAAAAGTACTAAGTATACAGCTTGATAGTTCAATAAAAATTAATCAAAGTTTCTTTTCAAACACCACCACACCCACCATTACCACCAACTCCACCACAGACACCATTGAGGTAGAAGGCAACATTCAACTCCAGGGGTGGGGCTTGGACAATGAACCAAATTGAGGACTAGTTAATACAGATCTGTTGTGGAAGCAGCTTTCCATAAGACACACACACCAGTGTGTCATGTCAATTTACCATTGCCATGACAACACCCAGAAGTTCCTGCTGCTTTCCATTACAACAACCCAGTATCCCAGAAGTTACCATCACCATCCTAGAAATTTCTGCATAAATTGCCCCTTAATTTGCACATAAATAAAAGTAGGTAAAAACATAAGTGCAGAACTACCTGTGACCCGCTGTTGTAGGAACGTTTATTATGGGACAGCCCTGTTCCAGAAGGAACAGTACTTCTGCTGCTGCTGTACATGGCTGCTTGAATAAACATTGCAGCTTAACACCATTGGATAATCCTTGAATTCTTTCCTGAGAGAAGTCAAGAACTCTCCTGGGCTAAGCCCAAATTTTGGAGTTGTCTGTCCTTCATTATCTGGTGACTAGTGAAAGGACAAAGACACCAGAGTTAGCAGAAATTGGTAGAAAGGAAAGACAACAGAGATAGAGAAGTGGTGATTGATGAGAGACAGCAGTCAAGAAAACAGTGAAAGGGGTTAGCGATACAGCAAGCGATGGTGAAGCAGTCTGTGATCAAGTCTGCAAGAGATATAACATTGTCACTGTAACAGTAAAGAGCTGCTACCTCTACAGAGCTGGAACACTAACCAAAGTCACTTTGAAGAGCCATCATCTTTCCCTGGCAAGCATTGGAGCTGAACAGATTGGCAAGCAGCCATAGCGTTCCTGCCTTGTGTGAGACCCACTGCTCCAACTGGCAGACTAGTGGGTTACTGGTCCCTGTGTTGACCTCCTCCTGTGCTGTATGGCATCTGAGTCCATCCAAGCTGAGGGAACCTGTAGAAACCTACACCCAGTCCCACGGGGAAGATGGGTTGGCACCATTTTGACACCAGTGGATGGGTGA